AACCCCTCAATGAGATGGATTGATTCAGTCACTGGGATAATGTGGATAGGTGTGTCGGAGACAGTGAGATTGGCGAGGGCTAGAGCAGGGTTTAGGGCTTAGGTACATAGGGTCACCCTGAGTCACAAGTTACTTGACGGCACATAACAACAACCACCACCACCACCTATAATCAATTAATATTTGAGAAGGGAAAAAAAACCCCTTATCAAATGGGGAAATGACAACCTCTTCAACAAAAGGTCCTGGCAAAATTGGACTCTTACAAGCAGAAAGTGGAAACAGGATCCACACTTCTCACCATATATAAAAATCAATTGAAGGTGGATCAAGGACCTAGGGGTAAAACCCCAAACTATAAGGATCATAAGAAACAAAACAGGACCAAACTTAGAAGGCCTACCCAATGGCATAAATAGGCTGAAAATATAGCCATAAATGTACTACCAGGAAAAGATGAACTTGACAAATGGGACTTTCTAAAAATCAAGTTCCTGTTGCATCAAAACCTCTTTCCAAAAGACAAAGCATACACACTCACAACAGACATTTGGCAATGACTTTTCAGACAAGGGTCTCATAACAAAAGTTTACAGAAATGGACTGATAACCTAATCACAAAATGGACAAAAGACATGAAAAGACTCTTCACAAAGGAAGACACTTGGATGGCCAACAGACACATGAAGGAATGTTCAAAACCACTAGCAATCGAAGATGAAAAGAAAACAACAACGAGATGTCATCTCACCTCAGTAGCAGTGGCTAAGTTTAACAGGATAACAAGCAATCAGTGTTGGAGAGGACGCTAAGAGACTGGAACTTCCATGCACTGCTGGTGGGATTGTAAAATGGAAGCTACCCCAAGAGAATCAGAACTGAGACATGAACAGAGATACGTAAATCTATGTTGAGAGAAGGGTTCTTAGCAATAGCAAAATGGAAACCACTCAAATACCCCTCAACAAATAGACTGTGAAATTGTAGTATATTCACACACAATGGAGTACAATGCAGCACCAAGAAAAATTATTTTGTAAAATACTATATAATATGGGAGAGTCTAGAGAGCATTATGCAACTCAGTCTCAAAAGAAAAATATTTCATAAGACTATTATGGTAAAAATAGAAGGATACCTGAGCAAGATTTGTATAATGGTCAAAAGAGGGTAGGAAAAGGGGGACCAGGGTGGAAAAAGGGGAAGGAGGGAAATCACTAGGATAGCAGAGGTTAGTAGATAGATAGGGCAGTGAAGGAATAGGAAAAATTCAACAGGGCCTTGAACAGATGGGGTGAAAATAGGTACTGATCAATAGTCATTAATTATATAAAATATAAAGTAGATGAATGATTGTATAAAACACAACATATAAAATGAAACAAAAGATTATATAAAACACACAATATAAATGACTGTATCAAATCAATAAAAATATGAAACCACACAGCTATTTTGAAAATCTTTATTCAAAG